GATTACATTCTGAAAACTTCCCAAAGGCAAAGAAAAGAGATTTTCAGGTAGGCTTCTAAGGAGCATGATTGTTCAGCTGCAGTTCTGTCCTGGTCACCCAGGTGATGGGAACTTGCAAGCCTAAATCAGAGCTCTGAGCAGCCCCTCCCTGCTTAACTGAAGTAGGACTGAGAGAGTGACATACTTGAGGAAAGGGAGAGTGTGGGCAACCTCAGAGAGAGGAGGCATGCTTAAGGGTTTGGGGTCTGGGGTTTTACAGGGCTTATTTTTGTAAGGGTCAGCATAAGGCATGATGTATGAAGGTGATTCATAATTCCTTTGAAGTTTTGTCTTAAGAATAGAATTATTTAGGTGACTGTGTCGATTTGGGACTTTAGTATCCTTTGTCCACATAGATTTATTTACACTTCCAAAGTCTGTCTCCTGCCCTGGTTACAAAGTTACTTGATTAGAGCCTGGAGAAAGAAGAAAAAAAGCATATATAGGTTAAGTTAAAGAATGAGCTGTGCCTTTTAGCAGGCTAAAGTAAATTTTACAATGGCATGATCTAATTGATGCAATGAAGACATGCGGTGTGCTGCGCTCAGATACTTTTCTTTATCTGGAGAATATCCAGACATTCTAAGTTACTCCTGGCCTTTGGAACTTCAGCTAATTAACTCATTAAATCTGAGTTATTTCTGGCTCTCTAGTTTTATGTGGTTTAACTCTTTGAATCCCTTTTAGTGGGCTTTACTGGCTATTCTCCCTCCACATGCCCATATCTATTTTTCTGCCTAACAAGACTGATGTCATCTGCAAACAAAGACAGTTTTATTTCTTCTGTTCCAATCAATTGCTTTTTATTTCCTTTTGTTTTACATTAGTGAGTTCTTACAGTATGATGTTGAAAACGGGTGGTGAGGGGACATCCTTGTCTTCTGATCTTTTCAGGAAAGCTAGTTTCTCACCATTAAGTATGTTAGCTGCAGGCTTTTTGTAAATGTTCAAGTGTAAGATGTTCCATGTATTCTTAGGGTTCTTTTTTTATCCTGAGTGTTGAGTTTTGTCAAATGATTTTTCTGCATCTATTGATATGATTATGTGATTTTTTATTCTTTTGGTCTACTGATGAGTTACATTAATATTTTCTTCAGTATTGAGCCAGCTTTGCATACCTGGAATAAATCCAACTTGGTTATGGTACATAATCATTTTTATACATTGTTGGATTTGATTTGCTAATATTTTGTTGAGGATTTTTTCATCTGTATGCTGTGAGAAATGTTGGTATCTAATTTTCCTTTCTTGTGATGTCTGTTTGATTTTGGTTGTTATGTAATGCTGGGTTGTAGAATGACTGAGGAAGTGTTCCCTTTCACTTTATTTTTTAAGAAATTGTTGTACTTACCCATTGTTTCATTGTTCCTCCCCACTGGTTTTTGGATGTTCTGGGGTCCTTCCCATTTCAAATGAACTTCAGGATCACCCTATTAAATTCTACAAGGAAACTATTTGCAATTCTATTAGAGACTGTGTTGAAACTGTAGATCATTTTGGGGAGTATTCCTATCTTAACAATGATGTTCAGACTCACGAACATGGGATGCTTTCCCATTTATTGCAGTCACAGTTAGTTTCTTTCCAAGGCTGTTTTGTAGTTTTCAGAGTACAGGTTTTGTAGTTTTTTGCTAAATTTATTTGTAATTTTTTTCTTTTGATTCTATTGAAATGGATGTTTTCTTAACTTTATTGTTGATTGTTCACTGCAAATTTATACAAATATAATGGATTTTTACATATTGTTCTTACATCCTACAATCTTCCCGAGCTCTTTATATTAGTTTTGGTAGATTTTTTAATTGGATTTCATTTTATTTTCTGTATACAAGATCATATCTCTTGTGAATATAGTTTTACTTGTCAATTTATAATCTGGATGTTTTTCATTTCTTTTTCTTGCCTAATTACCCTGCCTAGTATCTCTACTATGCAGATGTCTTCCTGAGTTCTTTATTCTGTTCCATCATTTATTTGCTTATTTTTGCCCTAATACTACATTGTGTTAATGCTGTACTTTATAGTAAATCTTGGTATCTGATAGTACGAGCAGTCTAAATTTATCCCTACAAGCTGTCTGAACTGAATTTCTGTTTGCATTTTAGAGTAAACTTGTCAATGGAACGGTTCTAATACAGTTTTGGTTGGAATTGACTCTGTGGGTCAGTCTAGGGGGGATTGATATTTTTTAATTTGGAGGTAGTCCAATCCAGGAATATGGTATTATATCCTTTCATTTATACAGGATTTCCTTCAGACAATGTTATGATCTTACCCATCTATCATTAGATTTATTCCTATGTATTAGATTTTTGGTACCCCTGGTGATTATAGCATTTAAATTTTTTTGTTTTCTATTTCATATTCAATTGAAATCAGTAATGGAAGTCATGGCAGAGAGATAACTCTTCTAATGTTAAAGTACTTGGACAGGTTTGCTGTTGTATAATTATGCAGCATTTAATTATGAGATCTGATCAATATTCATTAGGCAATAACATGTGTTCATACTACTCCAAATAGCCTTTTAAGAGATGGATCTATTAATAGTTAAGAGGAATTACAGACTTGAACTGCACTTCTAGCAAAGATACATAAAATACTGAGCAGGAAAACTGTCAGTCTTTGGGGAAATAAAGTTACCTAATGGTAGGAATTCATGCTTAGAAATTCAGATATAAACCCACACATATATGGTCAATTAATATACGATAAAGGCCCATGCATATACAACAGAGAAATGACAGCCTCTTCAACAGCTGGTGTTGGCAAAACTGGACAGCTACATGTAAAAGAATGAAACTGGATTGCTGTCTAACTCCATTCACAAAAGTAAACTCAAAATGGATCAAAGACCTGAATATAAGTCATGAAATCACAAAACTCTTAGAAGAAAACATTGGCAAAACTCACTTGAATATAAACATAAGCGACTTCTTCATGAACACATCTCCTCGGGCAAGGGAAACAAAAGCAAAAATGAACAAATGGGACTACATCAAACTAAAAAGCTTCTGTACAGCAAAGGACACCATCAGTAGAACAAAAAGGCATCCTGCAGTGTGGGAGAATATACTCACAAATGACATCAACTGATAAGGGGTTAACATCCAAAATATATAAAGAACTCACATGCCTCAACACCCAAAAAGCAAATAATCCAATTAAAAAATGGGCAGAGGATCTGAACAGACACTTCCGCAAAGAAGAAATTCAGATTGCCAACAGGCACATGAAAAGATGCTCCACATCGCTAACCATCAGGGAAATACAAATTAAAACCACAATGAGATATCACCTCACACCAGTTAGGATGCCCAACATCCGAAAGACAAGCAACAAAAAATGCTGGCAAGGATGAGGAGAAAGTGGAACCCTCCTACACTGCTGGTGGGAATGCAAATTAGTTCAACCATTGTGGAAAGCAATATGGAGGTACAAGGACCAAATGATTTCCCTCATCTGTGGAGTATAACAACAAAGCAAAAACTGAAGGAACAAAAGAGTTGCAGACTCTCAGAACCCAAGAATGGATTAGTGGTTACCAAAGGGAAAGGGGTTGGGTAGGGTGGGTGGGAAGGGAGGGAGAAGGGGAATAAGGGGTATTATGATTAGCACACATAATATGGGGAGGGCACAGGGAAGGCAGTACAGCACAGAGAAGACAAACAGTGATTTTACAGCATCTTACAACGCTGATGCATAGTGATTGTAATGTGGTAGGTGGCGGGGACTTGATAATAGGGGGAGTCTAGTAACCATAATGTTGCTTACTCATGTAATTGTACATTAATGATACCAAAATATATATATATATAAATAAATAAAATTGAAATTGGATTAAGATATCTAAAAACCAAAATTGGAATACTTAAACTTATTTGAAAATTTTAAGTTAGAGTACTTTAAAAGAGAATAGAGAGAAGATTGGAGACTGTTGAGAATTAGGCTTGGGGTTGATTAATGATTGTGCATTGAGTCCCCTATACGGAATTTTATTGTTGTTAACAACCATTTGATCAATAAATATGAGAGATGCCCTCTCAAAAAAAGAGAATAGAGATCTTGGAATATTCTTAGAATACAGCAATAAACATAAGAAACTGACCTAATTAACACGCTTATCTTCCATTCACATTTAATTTTAAATATGGATGTGGAAAGAGAGGGAGGGGAGAGGGAATTAAGTGGTCACAAGCATCTGTTACTAGTAATTCCAGCACACATGTAGTTGATACTGCAAAACAGACGATGAAGCTTTTCCCAGGCCGCCATACTCTTAAGGTCTTATACGAACAGCTCTAGTTCCTAACTCACACTCAGCCGGGACCCGCGCACACGCGCGCACGGACTACACGCAGCCCGCGGCCCGCGGCCCGCAGCCCGCCGCCACCCGCCACGCACCCGCAGCCCCGGCCGGCCGAAGCCGCGGGGCCGAGAGACAGCGACCGCGACGGCAGGGGCCGCGGCGCAAGGCAGGCACTTTGCAGGGTCCGCGCCAGGCACAAGTTACTTCCCCGGCTCCCGGGGGCCTCCGCCCTGAGGGAGGCTAACACGGACGGGGATGATGAGACGAGGAGGCGCCGAGGGGCAGCAGAGTGGGGAAACGCGCGGAGAGAAGCAACAGCCGCTCCACCCAGACCAGAAAACTGGCCGGCCGCGTCCCAGCCGCCCGCCCAGCGCCGGGGATGCGGCGGCGGGGGCGAACCGTCCCGGAGATCGGGGGGTGGCAGGGGCGGCAGCGGCCGGCGGGAGAGAAATCGGTAAGAGACTTACGTGTCGGGGCGAGCGGAGGGGTCGCAGCGCGGGTCAGGCCGCTGCGGCCGGGAAGGCGGGCAGAGAGCGCTACAGCCCATTTGGCCGTCCCGGCTCCGGCCGCCTCATCCCCATTCCCCCCGGGTCGCCCACGGCTGCCGGGTTCCCCCGGACTCCGCAGCTACCCGGTCCCGCCCGCTACTCACCGTTACTACGCTGTGGGCTCGCCTGCTGTCTGCGCTCACACCTGGGGCATCTGTCTGCTCCTCCCTCCGGACAGGCCAGCCCCGCGCGGACGGCGCGCTCCTCGGGGGCCGTTGGTCGCGGCTCCCAGTAAGCCTCGGCTCAGCTCAACGGTTCGCCGCGGGCTGTTATGGATCTTCCTGGCTTCCGGTTTCCGACTTTGGGCTCCGCGAGATCACGTGCCTCTGCTCACGTGACCGCCGTTCCTGTCATTCCACCGCTGCAGCTCGGCTTCCTTTAGCCTGTGAGGCCCTCAACGTTTTGCTGCGGAATTTCTTCACTCTGCGGCGCTCGAGTCTCTCGCCGCCCCTGAGGCCTCCGTACCCGGTAGGACACGCCTAACTTAGCTCTGCATCCGCGTCCCCGCCAAGCGGTGACCCCAACGTCCCGGCCCGCCGCCGCCTCCCTGTTTCCTTTGGGTGCGTTGTCGGGTCCTCAGGGTTCGCGAAGTAAGACCGCACTCGGGTGGTTTCTCTCCAGACTAGCCGAGGCGTCCCCTGCGGGTTTTCCAGCTGCCATTGTGCGTTGGTTTCTCACTGCTGCGGCCTTTCCTGTGTGTCCTTTCCAGATTTCTTTCCTTCCAGGCCTCAAGTAGGTTTACGAAATTGGAGAACGCGAAGGATGGGTGGGGCGGGGGAGGTGGGAGAAGGGACCGCGGATGAAAAGTAGACTCCCCAGGATTGGGCAAGGGCTCTGGCCTGGCCTGTCGGTGTTCGAGTCATTCAGGGACCTCCATGGCCGTCCTGGGACACCTTCAGCTGATAGGAGACGCCCATGGGGCTGAGTGGGCTAAGGTTCCAGCTTCACCCGGATGGGGCCTGTTTTATCTCCGCTTTGCTTGACTGCCTCGCCCTTGGGTGTTTAGGCAGCAAATCTTCAGAGGTAGACATTAAGTTCCCAACTGCCTGAGGTCATTGGAATCCCGGAATAGAATTTTGGGTATGGTTTTACCTTCTTTCTGGCATGGCCATAAGTTTATATTTTGTGAATCAGAACCTATATTTTGCATTGTCATAAAATCAGGCTCAAGCTTTTACCTGTAATGTAGGAATGAGAATTCTGTAACAGTTTGTTTTTGTACGTTCTTGTCATCAGACCAGATTCCCTTGTTGGCTATACCTAAGTTGTAATGTGTACTTAGTTCCAAAAATTTCTCTCCAAATTGATTTTGAAAATACTATGAACTTTGGTTGAGAAAAGAAAGTGCTCTCTTGTAAGAAATCACATTCCCACTTTGGGTATTTTAATTCGAATGATGGAATTTACAAAGGAGTTTTCATATGTCACTTCAAATTGATAGTTATTAAATGTAAATAAAATGACTGGACCTTTATGTACTATACAGGTGCTAAGTTTTTCTCTTTCAGAAGAGGAAAAGTTGATCCCAATTGTATAAATTGAAAGGACCTACCTATTTTGAATGATCTGTTGAAAAGCATTCAAGACCATAAAATTTAGATGACCAAAATGGATATCCGGGGTGCTGTGGATGCTGCTGTTCCAACCAACATAATTGCTGCCAAGGCTGCAGAAGTTCGTGCCAACAAAGTGAACTGGCAGTCCTATCTTCAGTGAGTACTGATTTACTGTGAATTAGGGGTAGTTATTGGCTTTTGTATCAGACCTTTTCATAGTCATGCTTCTATGAGAAATACTGGAAAATACTAATCGACATGGAAGAAAACACTTCCTCAGAATGATTAGCTGTCGTAGGGAGACAGTAGTGTGGTAGAAACATCTTGGGGCCCTGGTGGGGAGGCAGAGCTGCTCGTCACACTTTTGACCTTCTCTCTCTGGATAGTTGTACATTTTGAAGGAGTGGGAAGCATGGGAGGAATGTTCATGGTTTCTGGTGGAAGGAAGAGGATGATTTGCAAAGCCTGCCAGACTGGCTCAGTGTGCCATAGTGATCAGTGTGGGGACAGATGGTGTTGCAGAATGGCTCACACAACTAGTAAAAAGTGTAGACGTTTGAGTTTCAAGACCTGACTTTGAATTCCAAATGTGTTAACTTCACTGAGGGCCATTAAAAGTAAATGTGTAGTGGAGATACATATCCCACAGGGTTGTTTCTGAAATAATGTATGTAAAGTATCAGCACAGTTGAATACGAGCATTAGCGTGTTGAATACCCTCCCAATAACTATAGTTCTTTCACCTTTGTGTGTGTGAAGATTTAGCATGCTGGTGTTCTGTATTTCTCTGTGAAGGCTGTGTTCATTTATTCTAGACCATATTTTTTCATACTGTCTTTACTTCCTATTTGTTTATTTTGGTACATTTATAGCTGACTAATAAGGTAATTCAGTTAAATTTACATGCACATTTTGAAAAATAATTTGAGGGATCTTTAGTTTTGTACAAAAACAATTAATTTATTTCCATTAATTTAGTCACATAGATCAAACATTAACTGACCACCCGTGAAATTTGAGGCATTTTTTCCCAGGCTTTGGGGGCAATAAGGAGATAAACTTATAAACTAGTACGGAAGTCAGGAATATAAACAGGTCATTTAAAGTCTGTGTGTTAAGTGAGGTAATGGAAAAGTGCACAGGGAATGATGGTGCACAGATAAAGTACGGCTAATCCTACCTCCAGGAAGTTTTCCTGAAGGGGAAGTTCAAAGGTAGGGAATTAAAAACAGCATGCTGGTGGGGAATAATGTGTGTTTTTTAGGCAGCCAGTGGGGAGAGCTGAGGCTAAAGAGGCAGCCAGAGCCAGGAGCCATTTGTGAAGGCCCTGTGTGTTACTGCAAGGAATTTGGACCTGTTCCTGTCAGTCAGTGCTTTTCAAGCTGATTTTTAAGCTGTGAAAGTTGTGGTTGATGTGAAGTCTAGTAAGGCAATTGAGCATGTAAACAGATGAAAATGATAGTCGAATGGAGGAGGAGTATATGTCTCAGGCTCTGCTTTTGAGACCATTCACTATCCTCATTTGGGTTCCAAAGAGCACAGTTGTTTTTTTTTAAACCACTTTATTGAGGTATAATTGATATACACAAAGGTATACAACTTGATGAGCTTGGAAGTAAGTACATACTCTTGGAACCATCACCACAGTCTATACCACAAATAATCCATCACCTGTGTATGTCAGTCATGCCACATCTTCTTTATCCATTCATCTATCCCTGGACACTCAGGTCATTTCCATATCTTAGCTATTGTGAATAGTGCTGCCATGAACGTGGGAATGCAGATACTTTTGAGATCTTGATTTTAATTCCTTCTTGATTTCAATATATACCCGGAAGTGGGATTGGTGTATCATATGGTGGTTTAATTTTTAATTTTTTGAGGATCCTCCACACAGTTTTCCATAGTGGCTGCACCAGTTTACATTCCCTCCAATAGGGCCCTTTTCCCCACAAACTCCCTAAAACTTGTTATCTTTTCTTTTTGATAGTAGCCATTCTAACACATGTAAGGTGACAGTTTCACTGTGGTATTGATTTGCATTTCCCTGATGAACAGTGATGTTGAGCACCTTTTCAGGTACCAATTGTCCATTTTTATTCTATGTAGAAATGTCTGTTCAGGTCCTTTGCCCATTTTTCATTGGGTTGTTTTTTTGCTATTGAGTTGTAGGAGTTCTTTACATATTTTGGAAATTAACCCTTTATCAGATGTATGCTTTCTAATTACTTTCTCTAATTCTGTAGGTTGCCTTTTCACTATATTGGTTGTTTCCTTTGCTGTGCAGAGTTTTTTTGTTTGATGTAATCCCATTAGCCTATTTTTGCTTTTGTTGCATGTATTTTTGGTGTCATATACAAGAAGCCACTGCCAAGGCTGATGTCAAGAAACTTTTTTCCTATGTTTACTTCTACGAGTTTTATAGTTTCAGGTTTTATGTTTAAGACTTTAATCCATTTTGAGTTGATTTTTGTGTAAGGCCGAAGCCGCGGGGCCGAGAGACAGCGACCGCGACGGCAGGGGCCGCGGCGCAAGGCAGGCACTTTGCAGGGTCCGCGCCAGGCACAAGTTACTTCCCCGGCTCCCGGGGGCCTCCGCCCTGAGGGAGGCTAACACGGACGGGGATGATGAGACGAGGAGGCGCCGAGGGGCAGCAGAGTGGGGAAACGCGCGGAGAGAAGCAACAGCCGCTCCACCCAGACCAGAAAACTGGCCGGCCGCGTCCCAGCCGCCCGCCCAGCGCCGGGGATGCGGCGGCGGGGGCGAACCGTCCCGGAGATCGGGGGGTGGCAGGGGCGGCAGCGGCCGGCGGGAGAGAAATCGGTAAGAGACTTACGTGTCGGGGCGAGCGGAGGGGTCGCAGCGCGGGTCAGGCCGCTGCGGCCGGGAAGGCGGGCAGAGAGCGCTACAGCCCATTTGGCCGTCCCGGCTCCGGCCGCCTCATCCCCATTCCCCCCGGGTCGCCCACGGCTGCCGGGTTCCCCCGGACTCCGCAGCTACCCGGTCCCGCCCGCTACTCACCGTTACTACGCTGTGGGCTCGCCTGCTGTCTGCGCTCACACCTGGGGCATCTGTCTGCTCCTCCCTCCGGACAGGCCAGCCCCGCGCGGACGGCGCGCTCCTCGGGGGCCGTTGGTCGCGGCTCCCAGTAAGCCTCGGCTCAGCTCAACGGTTCGCCGCGGGCTGTTATGGATCTTCCTGGCTTCCGGTTTCCGACTTTGGGCTCCGCGAGATCACGTGCCTCTGCTCACGTGACCGCCGTTCCTGTCATTCCACCGCTGCAGCTCGGCTTCCTTTAGCCTGTGAGGCCCTCAACGTTTTGCTGCGGAATTTCTTCACTCTGCGGCGCTCGAGTCTCTCGCCGCCCCTGAGGCCTCCGTACCCGGTAGGACACGCCTAACTTAGCTCTGCATCCGCGTCCCCGCCAAGCGGTGACCCCAACGTCCCGGCCCGCCGCCGCCTCCCTGTTTCCTTTGGGTGCGTTGTCGGGTCCTCAGGGTTCGCGAAGTAAGACCGCACTCGGGTGGTTTCTCTCCAGACTAGCCGAGGCGTCCCCTGCGGGTTTTCCAGCTGCCATTGTGCGTTGGTTTCTCACTGCTGCGGCCTTTCCTGTGTGTCCTTTCCAGATTTCTTTCCTTCCAGGCCTCAAGTAGGTTTACGAAATTGGAGAACGCGAAGGATGGGTGGGGCGGGGGAGGTGGGAGAAGGGACCGCGGATGAAAAGTAGACTCCCCAGGATTGGGCAAGGGCTCTGGCCTGGCCTGTCGGTGTTCGAGTCATTCAGGGACCTCCATGGCCGTCCTGGGACACCTTCAGCTGATAGGAGACGCCCATGGGGCTGAGTGGGCTAAGGTTCCAGCTTCACCCGGATGGGGCCTGTTTTATCTCCGCTTTGCTTGACTGCCTCGCCCTTGGGTGTTTAGGCAGCAAATCTTCAGAGGTAGACATTAAGTTCCCAACTGCCTGAGGTCATTGGAATCCCGGAATAGAATTTTGGGTATGGTTTTACCTTCTTTCTGGCATGGCCATAAGTTTATATTTTGTGAATCAGAACCTATATTTTGCATTGTCATAAAATCAGGCTCAAGCTTTTACCTGTAATGTAGGAATGAGAATTCTGTAACAGTTTGTTTTTGTACGTTCTTGTCATCAGACCAGATTCCCTTGTTGGCTATACCTAAGTTGTAATGTGTACTTAGTTCCAAAAATTTCTCTCCAAATTGATTTTGAAAATACTATGAACTTTGGTTGAGAAAAGAAAGTGCTCTCTTGTAAGAAATCACATTCCCACTTTGGGTATTTTAATTCGAATGATGGAATTTACAAAGGAGTTTTCATATGTCACTTCAAATTGATAGTTATTAAATGTAAATAAAATGACTGGACCTTTATGTACTATACAGGTGCTAAGTTTTTCTCTTTCAGAAGAGGAAAAGTTGATCCCAATTGTATAAATTGAAAGGACCTACCTATTTTGAATGATCTGTTGAAAAGCATTCAAGACCATAAAATTTAGATGACCAAAATGGATATCCGGGGTGCTGTGGATGCTGCTGTTCCAACCAACATAATTGCTGCCAAGGCTGCAGAAGTTCGTGCCAACAAAGTGAACTGGCAGTCCTATCTTCAGTGAGTACTGATTTACTGTGAATTAGGGGTAGTTATTGGCTTTTGTATCAGACCTTTTCATAGTCATGCTTCTATGAGAAATACTGGAAAATACTAATCGACATGGAAGAAAACACTTCCTCAGAATGATTAGCTGTCGTAGGGAGACAGTAGTGTGGTAGAAACATCTTGGGGCCCTGGTGGGGAGGCAGAGCTGCTCGTCACACTTTTGACCTTCTCTCTCTGGATAGTTGTACATTTTGAAGGAGTGGGAAGCATGGGAGGAATGTTCATGGTTTCTGGTGGAAGGAAGAGGATGATTTGCAAAGCCTGCCAGACTGGCTCAGTGTGCCATAGTGATCAGTGTGGGGACAGATGGTGTTGCAGAATGGCTCACACAACTAGTAAAAAGTGTAGACGTTTGAGTTTCAAGACCTGACTTTGAATTCCAAATGTGTTAACTTCACTGAGGGCCATTAAAAGTAAATGTGTAGTGGAGATACATATCCCACAGGGTTGTTTCTGAAATAATGTATGTAAAGTATCAGCACAGTTGAATACGAGCATTAGCGTGTTGAATACCCTCCCAATAACTATAGTTCTTTCACCTTTGTGTGTGTGAAGATTTAGCATGCTGGTGTTCTGTATTTCTCTGTGAAGGCTGTGTTCATTTATTCTAGACCATATTTTTTCATACTGTCTTTACTTCCTATTTGTTTATTTTGGTACATTTATAGCTGACTAATAAGGTAATTCAGTTAAATTTACATGCACATTTTGAAAAATAATTTGAGGGATCTTTAGTTTTGTACAAAAACAATTAATTTATTTCCATTAATTTAGTCACATAGATCAAACATTAATTGACCACCCGTGAAATTTGAGGCATTTTTTCCCAGGCTTTGGGGGCAATAAGGAGATAAACTTATAAACTAGTACGGAAGTCAGGAATATAAACAGGTCATTTAAAGTCTGTGTGTTAAGTGAGGTAATGGAAAAGTGCACAGGGAATGATGGTGCACAGATAAAGTACGGCTAATCCTACCTCCAGGAAGTTTTCCTGAAGGGGAAGTTCAAAGGTAGGGAATTAAAAACAGCATGCTGGTGGGGAATAATGTGTGTTTTTTAGGCAGCCAGTGGGGAGAGCTGAGGCTAAAGAGGCAGCCAGAGCCAGGAGCCATTTGTGAAGGCCCTGTGTGTTACTGCAAGGAATTTGGACCTGTTCCTGTCAGTCAGTGCTTTTCAAGCTGATTTTTAAGCTGTGAAAGTTGTGGTTGATGTGAAGTCTAGTAAGGCAATTGAGCATGTAAACAGATGAAAATGATAGTCGAATGGAGGAGGAGTATATGTCTCAGGCTCTGCTTTTGAGACCATTCACTATCCTCATTTGGGTTCCAAAGAGCACAGTTGTTTTTTTTTAAACCACTTTATTGAGGTATAATTGATATACACAAAGGTATACAACTTGATGAGCTTGGAAGTAAGTACATACTCTTGGAACCATCACCACAGTCTATACCACAAATAATCCATCACCTGTGTATGTCAGTCATGCCACATCTTCTTTATCCATTCATCTATCCCTGGACACTCAGGTCATTTCCATATCTTAGCTATTGTGAATAGTGCTGCCATGAACGTGGGAATGCAGATACTTTTGAGATCTTGATTTTAATTCCTTCTTGATTTCAATATATACCCGGAAGTGGGATTGGTGTATCATATGGTGGTTTAATTTTTAATTTTTTGAGGATCCTCCACACAGTTTTCCATAGTGGCTGCACCAGTTTACATTCCCTCCAATAGGGCCCTTTTCCCCACAAACTCCCTAAAACTTGTTATCTTTTCTTTTTGATAGTAGCCATTCTAACACATGTAAGGTGACAGTTTCACTGTGGTATTGATTTGCATTTCCCTGATGAACAGTGATGTTGAGCACCTTTTCAGGTACCAATTGTCCATTTTTATTCTATGTAGAAATGTCTGTTCAGGTCCTTTGCCCATTTTTCATTGGGTTGTTTTTTTGCTATTGAGTTGTAGGAGTTCTTTACATATTTTGGAAATTAACCCTTTATCAGATGTATGCTTTCTAATTACTTTCTCTAATTCTGTAGGTTGCCTTTTCACTATATTGGTTGTTTCCTTTGCTGTGCAGAGTTTTTTTGTTTGATGTAATCCCATTAGCCTATTTTTGCTTTTGTTGCATGTATTTTTGGTGTCATATACAAGAAGCCACTGCCAAGGCTGATGTCAAGAAACTTTTTTCCTATGTTTACTTCTACGAGTTTTATAGTTTCAGGTTTTATGTTTAAGACTTTAATCCATTTTGAGTTGATTTTTGTGTATGGCAAAGAGTCCAATTTCATTCTTTGGCATGTGGCTGTCGAGTTTTTCCAAAACCATTTTTTGAAGAGATTATTCTATCCCCACTCTGTGTTCTTGGCACCCTTGTTGAAGATCAGTTGACCATATATGTGCACGGTTTATATCTGGGCCCAAGAAGCACAGTATCAAAGTCATTGTTGGAGGTATTAGAAATGACTGATGTTTCAAGTGGGAGTTAGAGGATCAGATTTGCCTTTTGGTTGGATTTTTCTGCTGGCAATGTAGAGGGTGAATTTGTGTATAAGTCTAAATCTAGGGAGAGATTGTAGCAGTATTTCTGTTGTTGGAATGGCTAATATTGGATAGATTTGAGAAAGTCTTCGTGATAGATTTAATGTATAAGGGTGAAAAAGAATCTCAGATAACTTAGGGATTCCCGCTTTATGGGACTGGGTTATTGTGGAGCTGTGGACTCACGGGCAGGGGATAAGGGATTTTTTTATGTTTCTTCTGTTCACCTGTATCTGTGTAATTATTTAAATCCCCTGTGAAATTAGGGTTTTGAGGTTAGTTTCCTAATTTTAGTCCAGAATGCATTTAGACGAGAGGACAAGTAGTTTTGTGTTTACAAAGCCTTAGTGTTTATAACGTAAATAGAATAATGTTGTTACTGATTGTAAAGCACTGGCTGACTGGCACAAGATCCTTAGCATTGAAGTTGAAACATTTTTAGTTACATGGAAATTTTTAGTTGCTTTCTTGTCTCTTCTTCCTGTTGCATACTACATGAGTCATATTCTCCCTTTTGCCTATTTCTCTCCTTTATTTTGTTGTCCATCTCATGACTTTCTTTTATAAAATCCTTCTATGCTGTATGTTTATATACAAATGTTCACCAGCTGTTAACTGTGTGCCTGCTGTTGAGTTAGTTATTATGAGGACACTAGTGGGTTTGAAACGTGAGTCCCCTAAAAGAGCCTACAAATTGTTGGGGACTGGACATGACACATGAAGTATTAGTGAATCTTATATCACATCGTATTCTGCTAAAATAAAACCTGTGGAAGAGTCCCCCAAAGTCAGAAGGCCAGTATGCTTTATCCCTCACAAATTAGCATGTTATTAAGAAAATAACAGTGTGTAACCATATTTTTATATTAAATTAAACTTTCTTCATAATTAAGCTAGACCTAAGTTAATGGGTGTGACTCTATTCCAAACTGAAATCTAGTAAAACTATACTCTGAGGATGCAAGAAACATAAAATTGCATCCTTCCTCTTGAGTTTGAAGTCTAAATGAGGAATCTGATCTTTAAATAAAAAAATAATAAATTTTGGTAAGTGTTAAAATGGAGATACATCTACAGTTTCTCAGATAACAAAAGGAGGAAGCAAATAATTCCCTAGGAACATCTTCACAGAACCCAAAGCTACTCGTAGTTGTCCAAGCAGAGGAGCTGGCGCTGGGGGGAAGGAAACTGCAGGAGGGGAGCTGAGCCTCGGGAGAACATGCGGTGCTTGGGGAGTGCCAGGTGGTTTGGGGGGGCTTCCTCCAGGCTGCTGCAGGCCACCTTGTGGCACCTTCATATTTTACCAGTTTTGGAGGCCAAAAACCCAGTAGTCATCTCGATCTTCTCCTCCCTTACAATCCATTTCCAGTCCATTGACAAATTCTTTTAGCTTTACATCCAAAACACATCCTGGATTAGCCTCCTTTTCTCTGGTTCCACCACCTCTCCCCTAGGGACAGCTGACATCACACCCTTGTAAGAAGGGCGCTGCTCTCTTCTTACAGCCCCGTGTCTGGAGTCTCTGCTTACCCTGTTCCCCCACAGCAGCAACTCTACACATCTGTGATAGTCGTTTCAAAAATACCGATCAGATCATGCCATCCCACCCACAACCTTTTAACCACTCTGCTGTGTCTCCGCTTTCTCACGTAGCAAGCTTATTCCTGCTCCAGAGTCCTTGCACTTAGGATTCTGTTTCTGGAATTCCTCCCTTAGATCACTTGGCTCACTTCATTCGGGTTACCTCAGAAAGGGCTTCTCTGTAAGCCAGCTAAAATACATCCTTTCCTTTCTTTAACTTTCTAGCTTCTTACTTGGCTTCAGTTTTTTTTCATGGAATGTATAGTTCTGAAATTATAATATTATATATGTATGTATTTAAAAAGATATGTATTTTTGTTTGTGCATTTCCTGTTTTCTCCACTGGAATGCAAGCTCAGAGAGGAAAGTGTAATTCATGGCCGAATCACCTGTTCTTAAAGGTGCCTGGCTTAGAGTAGGCTGCCAGCTAATACTGGCAGATTAAGTCCCAAGTAAAGTATTTGTTGGGAAAATGGTGGATATAAGTGGAAAAGGAAGTACCATACTTGGTAAGTAACATAACTATTTTGTATTATTTTCATAACAGTACTATGATGTCGGTCTTCCTATCTTCATTTTAAAAATGAGTAGATAGCTGTTCAGATATTCATGAACATGTGCATGTTCACATAGGTTTTAATTAGTTGGTTAAAAAGATTTTTACTGACTGCTTCTGCTTAGGTGCTAGGCAGAACTGCTGTTGAACTTCACAGTCTGACTGATTTGACAGGAGTAGCATGATCGAATATGTGCTGAGAAAGCTGACTGGTAGTAAGTAGGTGAGAGGGATGTAGAAGAGGGTTGGAATGGAAGTGAGGAAACCC